AGGCCTAACTGTAAACCTTCCTGGGACCTGAGTGCAGGCCTAACTGTAAACCTTCCTGGGACCTGAGTGCAGGCCTAACTGTAAACCTTCCTGGGACCTGAGTGCAGGCCTAACTGTAAACCTTCCTGGGGACCTGAGTGCAGGCCTAACTGTAAACCTTCCTGGGACCTGAGTGCAGGCCTAACTGTAAACCTTCCTGGGGCCTGAGGACTCCAGTATTCTGGCTGCCAGCTCATCACTGCTAGAGCCAGTGTACATGGAGACATGGAAGCCAGCAGGGCCACGTGGTCCCTGCAGTGTCAGGCGTGGGGAGAGCACTCACCTGGGTCTGCGGGGCCGTGGCCCGGTGGCCAGGCGAGCTCTTCTCCAGCACGTTCAGCCGGGCCTCCAGCTTGGAGATGGCCTGCTGCAGCTCCTGTACCACTGTGGGGGCAAGGGGAGCACGGTTAGATGGCAGGGGCCAGGGACAGCCCCTACCCACTGGCCCGGGGCCTCACCGCCACGCAGGCTCTGGTTCTCCACTTCCAGACTGGCGATCCGGACGACAAGCTCGCTGTGGTCTCCACTGGGGCCGCTGGAGGCCCCGGGGCCTGAGGTCTGCAAGGCAGGAGGAGGGGAGGGCTCAGTGCCCAGCCTGCTCCTGGGGTCCCCTCAGAGGCTCCAGTCAGCTCCACCAGGTCCCCCTGCCATGCTCAGGACTGCAGGAACTCAGAGGAGGAAAACTCTGGCTCGGGACAGCAGGAGGTACCCCCTGCTGATGCCCAGCTCAAACATATGACCTCGGAGATGGTGGCCGCCAGACCACAGTGAAATTCTCAGCCAGGCAAAGTCCAGGACAGGAAGCTCTTGGTGCCCCAAACACGGAAGCTGTGGGGAGCTGGACCATGGCTGCTGCTGCCCGTCAGGATCCTGCTGAGCAGTCAGGCTCAGAGGCTGGGTGGGAGATGGTGAAGGACTCACAGAACTAGGGACAACCTGGGGCAGGCCTCAGGGGACCAGGCAGCACTGGAAATGGGAGGCGGGAGCAGCTGAGGGCCCAGTGGGGGCAGGAGGAAGGAGCCCACCTGTGTGGACAGCAGCCACCCAGAGCTTTGTCTCCATGGGCCTCATGCCTGCCATCTCACTCAGCAAGCCAGTCTCTAGGTGACCCAGGGCCCCAAGCCCACCTCATACTCCGCCATAGCTCAGACTGATGCCCTGGGGCCCAGACAGGCTCCTAGCCTCCTGGCCCTTAACAGCAGCCAGTCCTTATGCATCTACCTGCAGGCATGGGCCATTTAGCCTGCCCACCCACCAACACGATGGCTCTAAGGACAGCGTGTACCTGGCTGCCTGGCGCTCTCAGCCAACCCCATCTTGGCAGCTCCCCAGGACTCCCTCTCTGTGAGGAGGGGCCTGCAGCAGCTGGGCAGACAAACCTGCTCCTTGCAGCAGGTGCAGACACACTCAGGCCTTTGCCCAACGTGCAGCACCAGCCCTGGGGCCCTCCTGCCACAGTCCTTGGGACCACGCTGTGGGGAATGCTTGTTATGTATCTGGAGAGTATGGGAGCTAAGCCCACAGATCATGGACAATGCCAAGACTGTGGCCCAGGAGGCCCACCTGGCACAGGAGGAAATGGGCAGGGAAAGGCCAGGCTGGCAGGGGCGCGTGAATGGTGGTGGGGGTGCGGAAGGCACCGGCAGAAACTGACAAGCTCTGGGGCAGAAGCTGGAGCATGGGAGGGCCAGGCTGTGGGGCGTCAGGGAGCATGGAGAATCACAGCAGACCTCCTGAGGGGGTGGGGCTGGGTCCCGAGGAGGCCAGAATCCGTGAGTGGCAGGGCCAGGGCACCTGAGGCCTCATGCACCCCACATAGCAGGCCCAAGGACAAGCAAAAGGTCCCCTTTGGAAGAGGCACTAAGTCAGCACTGGCCCCGAGCTGCATGATGAGCAGTGGGGACTGTTTCACCACTGCCCTCCCTAGGCCACTAGGCCACAGCCCACAGCACTCAGGCCAGAGGGGCAGCCCCCTCCCTTGATGCTGACTCGGAGGGGACTAGGGACGCTAGGCATCAGAGTCCCTGAGCACAGCTTCAATGGGGCAGGTTCAGGTCACCCAGTGCAATCAGAGCGGGCCTCAGAGAGCCCCTCAGGGACTTAGGGGATGCCAAAGGCAAATACTTCAGAGCCAGACCCATGCCAGTAAACCCTGTGCCAGCACCACATTCCCAGAAACCCTGCAGTTCTGAAACCCCAGTGTCTGCTGAGCGCTCCCACCCCAAATCCAAGATGAGACTGGGCCCCTGCCATGGGCTGAATAATGTCCTTCCAAATCCACATGCTGGAGTCTTATCCCCCAGTATCTTAGAATGTGACCTTATTTGGAGACAAGGCCTTTACAGAGATAATTGTCACTGAGGGGCGGGGGGTAATCCAATCTGACTGGTGTCTAATAAGAAGACATCACAACACACACTCAGAGGGATGACTGTGTGAGGACGTGGAGAAGACTGTCTACATGCTGAGAGGCCTCAGGAGAAACCAGCCCTGCTGCCACCTCAATCATGGACTTCCAGCCTCTAGAGCTGTGAGAAAACACATGTGGTTTAAGTCACCTAATCTATGGAACTTTGTTAGAGCAGCAAACCAGTCCCTAAGCCCTAATAGTGTGAATACCTGCCTGTCCCAGAGACCATGACTTCGGGGTTGACCCTACTCAGCCAGGGCTGAAGAGTTCCTGCAGCCCCAGGGCCAAGCCCCTGACCACTGCCTTCTGGGCACTGGAGGGCAGTATGCCTGACTTGGGTGCAAAAATCTGTGGTACCTTTATCTCGTGTCTGCCTAGCCTGGACCTGGTCAGGTGCCTGGGCAAGCTAGGGGTGCTGGGTTGGGATCTGGACAGAACGCAAGGCACGAAGAAGCACCCACCTGGCAGACAGGAGTGGCAGCCCTTCCTGGGCCCACCCACCCAGGGATGCCCAGCTTATGGCTCGGGAGCCAGCACACCCCTAGCTGGCTGTGACTGTGGCGGACAGAATCATGGCCCCCGCAAAGATGTCCACATACAAGTCCCCAGAGCCTGTAAATATAGTCTCCCATGGCAAAAGCGATTCTGCAGATGTGATATGATTAATTTAAGCAGATCTCAAGATGGAGAGAAGATGCTGGATCACCCAGGCGGGGACACTGTCATCACAAGGGCCCACCCGAGGCAGCAGGAGCGAGGAAAGGGAGAGGCAGGCTGAGTGATGCGACAGCTGTTTAGGAGCCTCGGGCCAAGGACTGTGAGCAGCTTCCAGCAGCCAGAAGAGACAAGGAAGCGGACTGTCCCCATAGAGACACCAGAAGGACCACAGCCTCGATTTTGCCCCATAAGACGATCTCAGACTTCTGGCCTCCGGAACTGTAAGGTGAGGAACTTGTGCTGTTTTAAGCCACTGAAGTGTGACAGTGTTACAGCAACATCAAGTGGAAACCAACACAGATCTTGGCCCAGGAAGTGGGGTGCCGCTGGAATGCCTAACAATATGGAGGTGGCTTTGGAGTTGGGCAGTGGTGAGGCGGGAAGAACTCCGAGGAGCATGACACAAAAACCCTAGACTGGGCCGGGCACGGTGGCTCACGCCTGTAATCCCAGCACTCTGGAAGGCCGAGGCAGGCAGATCATAAGGTCAGGAATTCAAGACCAGCCTGGTCAACCTGGCGAAATCCCGTCTCTACTA